AGTCTTCTACCTCTGAGCTATAGCCCCAGCCCTGCTTTTGTGGTTAGGCAGGGTCCTTACTTAGCTCAGGCTAGCCTCGATCTCCCTATTTAGCCAAGGTTGGTCTTGAACTTTTGTTCCTCCTGCCTCTACCCTCAGAGCTGGGATTAACAGGCCTGTGTCAGCATGCTTGGTCTATGTGGTGCAGGGGATCGAACCCAGGATATCATACATACTAGACAAACACTCAAATGCTTCATTGGCTGAGCTGCATCTTCCCCCGACCCCTAAGTATGGGCTCCTTGGGTCATGCTCAGTGTCAGAAGTTCCAGAGCCTTTGGACAATGGCGTGAAAGAAGGGAGTCCCACTTGAGGGTGGACATCTGGGCCTGGCAATAGGACACCCAGTGTGGTTTGACCTGGCTTGAGGAGGGGACCGTGGCTTCCCATGATCTGCCTGCATCAAGGAGCTCTTTATGCAGTTCAAGAGCCTGCCTTGGCTGGCAGAGCCTAGGACTCCCCATTAGCTGCCCAGTGGGCAAGTGCTCAGAACCCACCTCATTATAAGGGACAGAATTCTGTACACTGAAGCCAGCAGGCTGCAGCCATAATCAGCTAATTAAACCACCCAAGAATGGATGTTTGGCCCAGAAGAGTGTGTGTGTGTGTGTGTGTGTGTGTGTGTGTGTGTGTGTGTGGAGGGGGGGGTCGGGGAGGGTGGTGAGGCTGGGAGAGAGGAAGAGGGTGCTGAGAGGGATGCTGAGAGCTGAGTCTGCAGGGCAGAACTTGGAAAGGGAAGCAGGGAGAGGAACTAGAGAGCAGGGGAAGGGACAGGTCCAGCGAGGGTGCCATCTGGGCAGAGTGCCCTGGTCAAATGGGAGCCTGAACCCCACTTCCTCGGGTCTCTCATCTCAAGGCAAGCTGTTCCTCTGCTCTGATCCTCAGTTCCTCAGTGTGTCAAAGAGGAGATAGGAGAGGCTTTGGCCTAGGAGGTCTCTGGGGGTCTCTCCTCATTTTACAGGTTCTGTGCTGAAGAGAGGAAAAGACCCAAGCCATGCTGCTCAGTGCTCAAGAGCAAAGACTTAGCCTCCGGCAGCCTGTGCTTAGGGAGGAGCAGACGGTGCCAGGCTCTGCTGGAACCTGTGGGTCTGAGTAGCCCTTGGCGGAGGTTAATTGGAAGGGGAGGTTTGCCAGAAGCCCCGCCAGGATGCTCTCTCTCCAGGTACCTCCTGTCCCCAGGCTGAGTCCAGCCTCTGTCCTGTGATTCTAAACAGTGTCTGCAGGGAGGGACTATCTAAAGTATGGTGGATGCTCTCTCTCCAGGTACCTCCTGTCCCCAGGCTGAGACCAGCCTCTGTCCTGTGATTCTAAACAGTGTCTGCAGGGAGGGACTATCTAAAGTATGGTTGGTTCTCCCTCTTCAGGGATGGAGCAGTGTCTTTTCTGTCTATGTAGGAATTTCCCCAGTAGTACTAAGGGCGCGTGTGTGCGTGTGTGTGTGTGTGTGTGTGTGTGTGTGTGTGTTGGGAGCAGGATCTCCCCAGAGGTAGAGCCCCAAGGTTTTGGGTGTGGATTTTACAGTAAAAGACAAACTGCTAGCTACTGCCCACTCTAGTTCACTTCCATGATCTTGGCCAAGGGGCTTGGGTTCTCTGGGTGTCAGTTTCCACACTTGGGAAGCCAGTGCACCTATCTATCATACTGGGTGGCTATGGGCCCAGAGGTAAGGGTTTGATCAAATCATTATTACAGGAGGATTGCCTTGAATTTGAGGCCAACCACTTTCTGAAATAAAGGGACCAGTGAGATAGCTCTGTCAGCGAAGGCACTTGCTGCCAGGACTGACTGTCTGAGTTTGAGCTCTAGAACCCGCGTAGTCAAAGAAGAGAGCCCATTCTCAGACACACAGACACAAATAAAATGTGATTTATATGTCACTTGTTACTGAAGCCTGGGACATGGACTTTGGCTTTTTGTCTGCCTATCCCCTCCATCCATCCCCTCCCTGTTCCTCTTCTCTTGCCTCTCCTGACTTTCCCCCAGCTGGTCCAGGACACTGCTGGACGGTCATGACAGTAAAGGGAAGCGAGATTGCCCAGGGCCAGTGCTGTAGGCCTGGGCTGGAGCGCCTCCTCTTTGGCCTCCGTCTGCCAAAGCAGATTCTCTAAGAGGAAGTCGGGGAGAAATTGCAGAGCTGGAAGCTGGGAGCCGCTGTGGACAGGGGGCCTTTGGCATGCCAGATGTAGTCCTAACTCCTTTACCCATCTCCCTTTCAGAGCCCAGAGCCTGGTTTGCTGCCAGGGAAGCCGGCAGGCCACTTTTTCACACACTTGAAAAACAACAGCCCTTCCTGGTTCCCAGCCTTTGGCAGGAGGGGGTCTGGAGGACCAGCAGCACAGGGCAGGAGTCTGCCTCTGTTTCCCCAGCCTCTGGCAGCCTCAGAGTTGGGCTGTGACCTGCCCCCAGCGAGGGCCTCTGACTTGGAGGACGCCTAGGAAGCTGGTTATGTAAGCCAACGAGGAGACTCCCTGCTCACTTCCTCCTTCCCTCCCCTGTGAGGCCCTGCCAGCAGGAGGCAGGTGCTGCTTTGCTCAGAATGTCTAGGCCCAGCAGGTTGTGGAGTCTCTCCTGTGTTGGGGTGTGGTGGGTGTGGGGGTGATCTCCTTGTCCACGCCCTCTGGGGCAAGCCTTGTGGGCTGCCTCAGTGCAGGCCTCTGGGCTGGCACTGAGCGTTGCCTCCTCCCACACCCGAGGAGTCTGAAGCTGCAAAGCTTCATTAGAGGAAGGAGGCAGCAGGCCTGAGATCATTTGCCTACAAACTGCCCCCAGAGGGGATCTGGCCTCTGCAGCCAGAGGAACAAATCGCCGGCATTTTTTCGGTTTGTTCTGTCCCATTGCACAAACATTTCTACAGTGCTGGCTAGGTGCCAGACCTCTACTACAGGCATGTCCCTGGAGTGTAGCCTACCACAGTGGACATTTAAGGAGCAGTTCGGTTTCATGCGAAACTTAAGGATGGATCGTTTCTCTGCGGCTGGCGAGCTGCTCCTCCCGGAGCGTGCATGCATGGAACTCTGTCTCTCTTGTCGGCCGGGGTTTTCAGGGATGGCTTATTCCCTTTTAACTGGGCCATGCCACCCTCCCCAGGAGGTGCCAATGAACAAATGTTTCCCTGAGCATCTTGCCAGGCCCCTGGGCTCGATGCTGGGCACCTGAGGTAGGAAGTGGAGACAGCCTCTTCATTTGTATGTTTGGGGGAGGCGGAAAATAAATGTCTGTAATGTTCTTAAGAGAGTGGTAAGGGATATCCGTTTATAACTGGAGACAGCAGTCCAGGATTGACACTCGGAGATCTCTCTACAGAACAGGGACACTCAAGTATGCTGTGGGAGATGCATTTGATAGGCCCCCTAGGTGTGAGCTCAGTGGTCTGTGGAACAGACCCTGTCAACTGGGCCTGGAGCACCTCAGGTTGAGGTTCATGGCTTTTTTTTTTTAATTGATTTTATTGAGCTACACATTTTTCTCTGCTCCCCTCCCTTCTTCTCCCCTCCCCTTCAATCCTCTCCCACGGTCCCCATGCTCCCAGTTTACTCAGGAGATCTTGTCTTTTTCTACTTCCCGTGTAGATTAGATCCATGATCCATGTTGTCTAGATTCTCTGGGATTGTGAATTGCAGGCTGGTTTTCTTTGCTTTATGTTTAAAAGTCACTTATGAGTGAGTACATATGATATTTGTCTTTCTGGGTCTGTGTTACCTTACTCAATATGATGGTTTTTTTTTATAAATGTTTTATTACTTATTATGTGTACAGTGTTTTGCCTGCATGTACACCTGCAGGTCAGAAGAGGGCATCAGATCTTATTACAGATGGTTGTGAGCCACCATGTGGGTGCTGGGAATTGAACTCAGGACCTCTGGAAGAGCAGTCAGTGCTCTTAACCTCTGAGCCATCTCTCCAGCCCCCTGTATGATGTTTTCTAGATCTATCCATTTGCCTGCAAATTTCAAGATGTCGTTATTTTTTTTCTGCTGTGTAGTGCTCCATTGTATAAATGTACCACATTTTTCTTATCCATTCTTTTGTTGAAGGGCATTTAGGTTGTTTTCAGATTCTGGCTATGATAAACAATGCTGCTATGAACATAGTTGAGCACATGTCCTTGTGGCACGATTGAGCATCCTTTGGTATTTCAATAAAGAATTTCTTGGAATGCAGACAATATCAGAACAAAAACAAAAACAAAGCTAGCGTGCATTGCCTCTAATCCCAGCACTCCGGGGAGAGAGAGGGAGGAGGGTGCTTACAAGTGTGAGGTCACCCTGCTCTACACCATAAGCTCTGGGTCAGCTAGGATGACCTAGTGAGTCTCCCCCACCCCCTTTCTAAACAAAACTAAAACAAAAAGGTCAGGAAATCAGGGTGAAGAGTAAAAGTGTCACCGTGAATATTTCGGTGAGATTAGAAATGAGACAGACATATTGGTGGACGCTGGGCAAACAGCAGCAGAAGCCAGGACTGCCCAGGGTCTACCCTGGTGGTGGGCGGGGGTTTCACAGCTTCTCTGGAGGTTTCCAGCAGAGTGCAAGGCCGGGAGCTAAGTCTTAGGAGAGACAGCTTTGGTTTGGGGCTGTGGGTGCTGGTCTTTATAGTTCAGAGAGCCTTCTTTAGGAACTTTGAGGCCAAGCTGTGTGGTAGAGAGGGTGTAGGCTGGGGCCCTCAACTCCCCCATGTGTGTGGATGAGATGCTCGGATTCTGGGGAAGTGGTACCCTTCTCCTTCACTGTAGTGTCTGTGTTAATGAGAGTGCACAGCATCTTAACAGGGCTCACCTGGTGGGTGAGATTTTTATCATGAGTCTGTGGCCCCAGGGCTGTGAGAGAAAACTGAAGGCATTTCAAAAGACTTAGTAATGAGGAATTTGATTTTTTTTTTGCCAAGTTTTTTTCCCAATATCCTAAAAAGGACAGAGCTGATGACACGTTATAATCAAGCAGTTAATATGCGCACTTCTCTTCCTCACACGCAGCAACGCACTGCCTTGTCAGCAGCCATCCAGCAGCCACGACTGAAATCACCATTTTGCAGAACGAACCGTGTCTAGTAGGAAATTTGCAGAGGACTATGATGACCTTTGCCCAGGCCACAGATGGTCCTGGGTTTCTCCAGCCTCGGCTTCCGTATGAGTGAGAGAATATCTGGAAAAGAGGCAGCCTGAGTCCATACTCCCTGGAGAGAAACCCATGCCCAGCCGTCCCAGCTCAGACGTCCAGTCTGAATGGTGGTGTGTGTGTCCCTTCTAATGCTGCTCCATCACACCGGCTCCTGGCCTGGGCGGTTCCACCAGGGTTCTGCCTGTCCTGTGGCTCAGTATAAAACCTGGAAGCAATCTTTTTGTTCAGAGACACAACAGACGGTGACCTTCCCAGCTTAAAAGATAGCCAGCTGCTCCCTACAAAAGGGTCGTTTTCAGGTGGCAGCTAGAGCCCTGCAGTTTCTGTCTCTAACTTCCTGCCTGCTGTCCTCACACTGTGGGCTCTGGCTTAATGTCTAGAGCCACTGACCTTTTTTATATACTGTTCTGCCTGCATGTATGTCTGCATACCAGAAGAGGGCACCAGATCTCATTACAGAGGGTTGCCCAGCAGCATGTGGTTGCTGGGAATTGAACTCAGGACCTTTGGAAGAGCAGGTAGTGTTCTTAACTGCTGAGCCATCTCTCCAGCCCAACCACTGATTTCCCACACCTGTGTCTCTGTCAGATCAGGCTTTTTGCTCTGGGTAGCCTTTCTTCTCCCAACTGGTAGAACCTTCTTTATATGTTGCTTTCAAGACACAATCTTATTATATATAACTCAAGCTGTTTTTGTACTTAAGACAATCCTCCTGCCTCAGCCTCCCGAGTGCTGGGAATGAAGGTATGTGCTCCCACACTTGTCTTCTTCCTTAGGACCTCCCGTCCCCTCCATCCATCACATTTGGAGACAGGGTCACATGCATCCCAGGCTGACTTCAAATTCACTGAGTGTTTGAGGATGGCCATGAACTTGTGATCTTCCTGTCTCTACATCCCGAATGCTGGGATGCAGGCATGTGCTATTGTATATGTATTATGTATTGTATTGTATATGTATTATGTATTGCTGGGAATGGAACCCAGGCCCTCCTGCATGGGAGGCAAGCATTCTGCCCACCAAGCTACATCCCTGGCCCTCCCTCCCTTTGATCTTAATTTAAACAGTTACATGGGCACCTTTTCCAGGTGTGGAGCTTTCTCTGGGCTCTGTGTGCTCCCTGGAGGAAGACCAAACAGTCCTCACGGTCCCTTGGCACCTGGCAGGACTCCTTCGTGGTGCTCTGTCCTGGAGTGGGCTACTGATAGAAGGGTCCTCTGCTCCACTTGGAGGCTGTGCTTGGGGCCAGAGTTAGGCAAGGTGGGTCACAGTCGGCTCAGAGGAAGTGGGGCCTAAACTGCTGACCCCAAGGAGAAGCTCCCTTCCCTTCTTCTCACTTCCTTCCTAGTCCTGGTGCTGAAAGAAAGCGGACAGAACGGGTAGAAAAAGGGAAATGGATACATTTTCAGCTGGGGTTTTGGGATTTCCCAGCCTGGAGATGAATAAACAAGACCCAGGCCTTTCTCCTTTCTTTTCTTTTTCTACACTCTTTCTGCCCACCTAGGAGGGTCAGGCACTGGCTACAAAACGGACCGAGAGGGCATCGTTGTCGTGTGCATGCTGGAACTCACCCTTCCCTTTATCCGTCTTGTTGGATCTGAGTTCAAGTCTTGACAGACACTTGAAGCTCTGTAACTGGACAGGTCATGCTGGCTGCTTTTTTGAGCCTAGGTTTCTTCTGCATACCAAAGAATGGATAAGGTCGTCCTCATAGGGTGGTGTCGCTCAGCAGGTGTTTGTGGCTACTTTCAGGTCAGAAGCTTGGGAGCATTGACTGTCACCTGGGCCAGGGTGGGGCACACAGTGCCACGTCGGTCTTCACGGCCCTGTCTCACTTTTGCACCTTAGGGAACCCCCACCCCCACCCCATCTCAGTGCTGAGCACATTGGGACCAAGCTCCTGTCTCAGTTACTTTTCTGCTGCTGTGAGGAGACTCCATGACCAAGATCACTTAAAACAGGAAGCATTTAACTGAGGCCTTGCTTACAGTTTCAGACCATCGTGATGGGAAACTTGGTGACAGGCAGGCATGACCCCAGAGCAGTAGCTGAGAGTTTACATCTGATCCTCAGGCAGGAGGCAGAGAGAGAGAGGAGTGACTGGGCCTACCATGGGCTTTTGAAACCTCAAAGCTCACCCCCAGTGACACACCTCCTCCAACGAGGTCACTCCTCTTAGCCTTCCTTAAACAACAGTTCAACTGGGAACCAAGTGTTCATGTACTTGAGCCTATGGGGGCCATTCTCATTCAAACCACAAGCTTGCTACTTACATTTTCCGTAAAGGCATGTGGATGACGTATATCGATGAATCCATCATTAACGCAGCACAGGGCGGGACATGGGCAAATAAAAACAAATACTGGTTTGTAGGATGAGTCAGGAAGCGGCACGGGCATCTGGAAGGCCCAGGAGGTGGGCAGTGAAGAAAAAGCTGGCCGTTGTAAAATGTGCTTGGCGGGAGAGAACCCAAGGCCCTCTCTGTGTGAGGCTGTTGCTCTGAAACTCACTTCTGAGGTCTGGTGCTTCCTTGAATATCTCCAGAGAAGGCAGTGGCTGTTCAGGAAGATCTGTCACAATTCCCCAGCTGCGGGTCTGTCCCAGTAGCTTCAGACCTTTCGCTTCGTGGACCACTGCCCTCTAACGTGTCTGCCGACTGCTTCTTCCCTCCAGGGCTAGGGTGGGAATGGGGGAAGAGGGCTTCAGCTCCGGTCTGTTTTCAGAAATGAAAGAAACTTTCTCAGCCATTCCACATGATCACAGCCTTTCCACCTATGTGCCTAGGTCATGGTATTTATAGAAAGCCCCCTGGTGTGTGTGTGCACGTGTATGTGTGCACGTGTGTGTGTGTGTGTGTGTGTGTGTGTATGCATAACTGGTGGGCACTAACTCTCTCCTTTTGCAAAATGGGGACAAAACAACTTGCCCTGTGTAGCTGTGGGACCGTGGCATGTGCTAGCCAGCAGGTGGGTTTCTTAGCTGCTTGGAGTTGCAGGTACAGCTGGGAGCAGAGGCTGGCAGCCTGTCTGTGGGAGGATCTTCTCAGAGATGTGTGGCAGGATCGCCAAGAATTTTGCTGGTGTGGCCTTCATGAGCAGCAGGCCCTGGATTCAGATGAGCCTGGCTCCTTCAGAAGCTGTGGCAAGACACACAGACCTGGGCCATGGACAGCAGGGAGGGCCCTGCTCCAGAAGAACTTCCTGGGAGCCTCCTCTGTCTGTTGGGCTGGGGGCAGGGCCTTTGTGAAGGCGGGTTATGCTCAGATCGCCTCTGGGCCCTTCCTCCAGTCCCGAGGCAGATTTACTTCAAGGCAAAGTTGCACCCCAATTTCAGGCCTTTTGCACGCCAGACTCCTCTCTGGGCCTCGTCATGTGCCACAGGGCTCAGTGCTGCCCTGAACTTTGACAAAGATCATTCATGTTGTTTATTTGTTAGGTTTTTTTTTTTTTTTAAGCAGACTTCTGGGATGGGGGTGTAGCTCATGTATCTGGCCCTGGGTTTGATTCCCAGTACCCACAAACAGCGTGTAGTGGTCATGTCTCGAATCTCAGCCCTTGGGAGGTTAAGGCAGGACAAACCAGGAGGGTGAGTGACATGATCTATCAACTGTGGAGCACAGCTGGACTGGAAAGGGACTATCAGAACCTGATGGGGCTTTCCTTGGGAAGGGGACTAGAGGAAGCCTGGCCTGGCTGTCTCTGCGCCAGCAGCTGGATGAGGAGCCTGGTTGCTGTGGGGCTTGTGGACGCCTCTGGGGCAGCTCAGCTGAACTTGGCTGCTCTTTAGGAAGCCAGGCAGATGGGCTGCCTGTCCTTCCGCAGGGTCAGTGTCCATTTTAGGGACGAAAGGGAGGAGACCTGGTTACTGAGATAGGTTTCAAGTCTCACGTCTGATTGGCTGTGGTGGTCCACACTCATCATCCAAGCACCAGGGAAGTTGAGGCAGGAGATCAATTCAAGACCATCTTCCACTACATGGTGTGTCCAAGGTTGGCTCTAGCTACATGAAAAAAAAAATCAAATTTTGCGTCTTCTGTTTGTTGGGTCTATGGGTGTTAAACTGTTAAATAGTTACATAATTTTCCTGAACTTTTAAAAAAAAATTTCATCTTCAAAGTGTCCTTCCTGTCATGGGGGCTGTGGTAAGTCTCAAAAGAGATAATATAGGGCCTGGCACAGGGTAGGTACTCAGATTGTGCCTAGCTCACCTTCCCATGGCCTCCCTAGCTTGTATCCTGCATCTTACCCATCCGCCTGTCCCCGAGTCAGTGTGTGCTCCCTGAGTTTGGTTTTGTTCATCTTGTGACCTTCCACAGCCCGTCTACAGGGCCTTTGAGACCCTTTGAAAGGGTTGGTAAGCCCCTGCCAGGGGCCTTCTGTGTGGCTTCTGCCCTGCGGACCTCCAGAGGCTGTGGCTGTTGCTAGGCTCCCACAGGCCAGCGGCTCTGTTCCCTACAGTGTCCTGTAATCACATTTCTGTTAGTGACAATCTGACATCTGTGGCTCCCTGCCGTGGAATGCCAGCACCCTGGGAGCCCAGGTTCCAGTGGCTGGCACCAGAGGTATGCGGCAGGAATTCCATGCTGAGGACAGAGCTTCTGTCTGCTCTTCCCTCTCAGAAATCAAGCCTGCTTCCTCGTCCAGCCTGGCCATTTTCTAGGTGGGGCAAGCCCCCCATTGAGAGTCAGATTGGGCAGCCAGATGCATCAAGTGTTCTGCTGGGTCTTGGAGGAGGTAATGCTGGAAGTCAGGCTGTTGTCTTCAAGGGTCCTTCCCTTTGACCTGTGATCTGTGTGCCTGGGGTACAGGGACCGACCAGCTCAGACATTCCATTCCTTGCGGGCCCTCGCTGCTGGCCTCACAATGGGCTGGGAGCTCTGTGCAAAGCTGTTTATGTTTCCTTGGCAGAATTTATTGCCCAGCCTGGCCTTCTGCAATTAATTATAAGCCAAACAAATAACTTGTCTCGGGGAGGCTGGGTCTTGGCATAAACATTTACGTATAGCCAGGGGGCCCAGCCCAGAGACCTGGTGTTTCCCTTTGGCTTTGAGAACAGAGGGGCGGGATAGGGCGGGACCATTTCCGCCTGAGCCCTGGAGGTCCTGTGCTCAGGATCTCTTTCGGTCTTCTAAATTACCCCAAAGTATGGTCCCTGCTTGTAAAGGGAGACTCAGGCAGAGTCTATCTGTTTGTCCAAGACCACACAGCTTCAAAGGAGAGTTGTCCGTTTGTCTGTCCATCCATCCATCATCCACTGCATATTTATAAAGTTCTCATCATGTGGGAAGGGGGTCTGAGGAGGCTCAGTGGTAATCAGTAGTAATCAGTACACACAGAACTTTTCTAACGTGGCTGAATTTGTAGGCATGTGGCTTGGTTGCTGGAGCGCTTGCTTAGCATTTATGAAGTCCTGGGTTCACTTCTATCACCGCATAAACTGGGCGCGTTGGTCCCCTACCTGTCCTCTGGAGTAGAAGTTAAAGGACCAGAGTTACAGGGAGAGCTTGCTGGGGGGTGGTGCACGCTTTGAATCCAGCACTTGGAAGGCAGAGGCAGGCGGATCTCTGTGAATCTGAGGCCAGCCTGGTCTACAGAGCCAGTTCCGGACCAGTTACAGCGACACAGTGAGGCCTTAATTGTTATTATTGTTACTATTGCTTCGTTTGTTTTTTTGAGATTATAATATGGTTACAACATCCCCCCCCCCTTTCCCTCTTTTTATACCCTCTAATATACCCCTCTGTAGATGGATTTGTCTTTGGGCCACTAGCTCACAAATAATGATATGCATTATTGTTAATTATTATTATTAATTAAAGCTCAGCCTTAGTTTAGGCTCTAATAACTTAAATTAACCTGCTTTTATTAATCTATGTTTTACCATGTGACTTTTTACCTTTCTTTTATTTTGTAAGTCCCGACTCCCTCCATGTCTCCCCTGCTCCTCGATTGTCTCCTCCTACTTCCTCTCTCTGCCTGGAAGTCCCGCCTATACCTCCTGCCTAGCCATTGGCCATTCAACTTTTTGTTACACCAATCAGGGCAATATATTTCACACAGTATACAAACATTCCACTACACCCTCCTTGCTCTCTTTCAAATTCATGGTTTCTTTTTCATTAATTGTTGTTACTTTCCTATATGTATGTAGATAGATTTCCTAAATATAACCTGCCCAGTCTGTTACTTGTGTGTCTGTCTTTAGGGCTGACTATTTGCTATTGGATAGCGATCGACCCCAGCATCCCTCAGTTGCCTGTAGTTCTCTGAGTAGGGCTGAGGCTCACTTCAGCATGCCTGTGTTCAGTTCATGTCTAGGCAGTGAGGCCTTATTTAAAAAGAAGTTCTAGGGCTCAATCTTGGTTACATATATAGGGACTTTAAAGACCCTATCCTCGGGGCTGGAGAGATGGCTCAGTGGTTAAGAGCATTGCCTGCTCTTCCAAAAGGTCCTGAGTTCAATTCCTAGCAACCACATGGTGGCTCACAGCCATCTGTAATAAGGTCTGGTGCCCTCTTCTGGCCTTTGGCATACACACAGATAGACTATTGTATACATAATAAATAATAAATAAATATTTTTAAAAAATTATAAAGACCCTATCCTCAAACAGA